GTGTAAACTCTCCAAAGATGTGACCTTATTTTATTATTGTATCTGTCAGGGCCTTGCACATAGTAGGGACTTGCATATTTATGTGTTGCTTACAAGTTAGTAACATCATTTTTCAGTCATCTCTAATACGTTTTTATTTGACCAACCTTCCCAATAAAAGGAAAAGAAAAGCTGTACTCGGTGACATCTCGATGTATGTCACATATTATTTCTTCATTTCTCTTCTTTCTAGTTTCTCTTTCCTTAGCACCCATAGATTATACATAACCCTTTCTATCTGTATGTCACATATTATTTCTTCATTTCTCTTCCTTCTTTCTAGTTTCTCTTCCCTTAGCACCCATAGATTATGCATAACCCTTTCTATCTTAACCTTATTTGTATTATGAATTTCTACTTTGTCTCTCCTTATGAATTTCTACTTTGCTTCACATTGTAGCTATAAATATTTAGAGTGCTCCTTTTAAACCATCTTTTTTTTTCCTACCTACCCACCCCTCTACATACATCTCCACCCCCAAACTACTTCCCAATTTGTCCTTCATTTCTTTCCTTTTGTTGTTGTTGTTGCAGATTCTTTCTTTTTTCTGTTCTGTTTGGCTCCTTTTGGTAGATCATCTTGGGATCTCTGTAATTGAGTAGTTATCTGCCCCCCCGCCTCCCCTTTCTCCCTCTTTTCTCTAAGTATCCTAACTTTGTTTCCTTTCCTTATTAGGAGTTACATTCTCCCTGCTCTTTCCTTCCTGCCTGCACCCTCTAGTCCATTCTTATTAGACTTCTGTAGTGCTTCTTTATTATGCAGAGGTCCAGAAACCCCAGCTCCTTTTCTTCTGCTCTTCAATTAGGCACCTGTTTATAAGCTCAATTGTTTCCATTTCCCCCCCTTCTATTCTGGGTCCCTGAAGTTGGGCCAAGCTTCTGCCTTCATGTGACTGGCTGACTCCCTGAAAAGTTGCATAAGCCTGTTCTCCACTATCCTTCATTTTATTCAGAACGGGTTACTATGCTTTTTTTTTAAAAAATATATTTTATTGATTTTTTACAGAGAGGAAGGGAGAGAGATAGAGAGCTAGAAACATCGATGAGAGAGACATCGATCAGCTGCCTCCTGCACATCTCCTACTGGGGATGTGCCCACAACCCAGGTACATGCCCTTGACCGGAATTGAACCTGGGACCTTTCAGTCCGCAAGCCGACGCTCTATCCACTGAGCCAAACCGGTTTCGGCGGATTACTATGTTTTTGTTTTCCTTTCCTGACACACTCTTCCTGGCTAAAGTGCATTCAGATAGCTTCATGGGCCACTTACCTTCATGATATATGATAGTCCCTCAGTATCCAAAAGGATTGGTCCCAAGAACCCCTGTCGATACCAAAACCCACAGATGCTGAAGCTCCTTATATAAAATGGCGTAGTAGTTGTATATAACCCATGCATTTCCTCTTGTGTACTTCAATTCATCTCTAGGTCACTTACAATGCCTAATAATACACTGTAAATCAATGAGGCATGTGGCCCGCTGGCCGCGAGTTTGACATGCTTGCTGTAAATGCTAAATAAGTAGTTGTTATACTGTATTGCTTAGTGAATAATGACAAGGAAAAAAAGGCTGTACATGTTCAGTCCAGACACAACCATTTTAGGCCTCACTACTTAGTACCAGGGTCAGCAATGGTATAACTTTTTCCCCAAATGTTTTTCATCCATGGTTGGTTGAATCCATGGTTGCAGATGACAGAGGATATATATAGATGGTTGACTATCTTTAGTTTTTTCCTGTAACATCTTGTAACAGAAAACCTAGTAGGGCAATCTGTTTCTAAGTGAAATCTCCTGGCATTATCTAGTTGTCACAGGTGATTTTTCTTTCTATATATATTGAATTCAGAGAGAAGAAGGGAGAGGAAAAGAGAGAGAGAAACATCAATGATGAGAGAGAATCATGGATTGGCTGCCTCCTGCACGCCCCCTACTGGGGATCAAGCCCACAATCCTGGGCATGTGCCCTTGACCAGGAATCAAACCCAGGATCCTTGAGGCCACAGGCCGATGCTCTATCCACTGAGCCAAACCGGCTAGGGCGTCACAGGTGATTTTCATTCTTACATTCTTTATCTTAACCCCTTACCATCTACCACTTACAGTAGTTCAGTTAATACAGCCTAGGAGTAATCTGGCTGAGTCACAGTGAGTCCTGCATATTCCCAGAGAGATGGCGTGAATTGTTTTAGCCTGGGCCTGTCTACGTTACTCATCAGGCTTGGCCCTCTTTCTCCTGTTACTGTCACTAATATAGTCCAGTTTTTCTACCTTCCTGAAGCCCATATCACATTGCTCATGACAGGGATGAAATGCTTCATTTCAATCTGGATGCATTCCAGTTGGATTAATCAATCACAGTGTTCCTAGGCAACCACATGTATTGATTCCACAAAGCAAATCCTCTGAAAAGGTCCTCTCACTGTTTTATCCTCCTGAAAACTGGATACGTTCTCTTTCTTGCCTGCCTTTTGTCTTCTGGATCTCCTGTAAGTCTCAGAAAAGGCATAATGACAGACGTACCAGCATCAAGTTTCAGAGCAGAGCTGTTTGATTCAGGTAGCCTGGGTGGGAGACCTGGCTCTACCAGTTTTTTAATCTGAGTGATCTATTTTATTTCTCTTAGTCCCTTTTCCTCATGGGTACAATTAGAGTCATACAGTACTTATTTTACTGAGTTAGGTGAAATATTTTTCACAGTGTTTCACTGGGGAACATAAAATGTTTAACATGATTCTTGGCACATGCTGCAGTCAACAGATGTTACTGGATTTTTCTGTTGACCATAGAGTTTACAGAATGTTAGTCCTGGAAGAGACCGTAGACATCATCTAGTTTGAAAGATGAGCAAACAGCTATGTAGACAGTGCTTAGAGCAGTATCTTACTTAAAGCCTGATTATGAGCCCTGGCTGGGTGGTTAAGTAGGTTTGAGCATTGTCCCCTTTCACCTAGGTGTTGTGGGTTCAGTTCTTGGCCGGGGCCCATCAATATTTCTCTCACACGTTGATGTTTCTCTCTCTTAAAAAAAATTAGTAAAGCCAAAACCGGTTTGGCTCAGTGGATAGAGCGTCGGCCTACGGACTGAAAGGTCCCAGGTTCGATTCCGGTCAAGGGCATGTACCTGGGTTGCAGGCACATCCCCAGTGGGAGATGTGCAGGAGGCGGCTGATCGATGTTTCTCTCTCATCGATGTTTCTCTCTCATCGATGTTTCTGACTCTCTATCTCTCTCCCTTCCTCTCTATGAAAAATAAATAAAATATATTTAAAAAAAAATTAGTAAAAACGTATCTTTGGTGAGGATTAAAAAACACACATAAAACCTATTTATGAAACATGTATAGTCCCCAACATTAATACCTTCCAAAGACTAAACTGAGGTTAAAACACACACACACACACACACACACACACTCTTTGTTTTAAAGAAAACATAAATGGAAAGATGTTGATACTATATTATTTAATGAATATGTTGATTATATCAAAGACATCTTAAGACTAGAGGGTTAATTTGCAGGACAAGTGAGGGAAACCATCCAAACAAATCGCTTTTTCTTCTTCTTCTTTTTTTTTTAAAGGTGACTGGGTGCAACTTTAGATTGCCTTGTCAGGGAAAGCAAATCTCTGAGGAAGTGACATTTATTTGTTTGTTTATTTATTTATTATTTTTAAAATATATTTTTATTGACTTCAGAGAGGAAGGAAGAGGGAGAGAGATAGAAACATCAGTGATGAGAGGTAATCATTGATCGGCTGCCTCCTGCACCCCCGACACTGGGGGATCGAGCCTGCAACCCAGGCAATGTGCCCTGGCTGGGAATTGAACCATGACCTCCTGGTTCATAGGTTGAGGCTCAACTGCTGAGCTACGCCACTGGGTGCCAACAAGTTTCTTCATAAGTGATTTAAACTTGGCAAAACTAGTGTAATAAGGGAGTAATTAAGAGTCAAGATCATGGCAAACCAAGTGAATAAGCACAGCATATATTGTCAGGTTTTAATGATTAAAAAATCCAAGAGATTACTTGCTGAATGTTTATGTCAGTTATCTTTTGTGTTTACTGAATCATAAAAATGCCAACATTTCTGCTGTAAGTCATAAATTTAGGAGCCAGTCAGCAACTGCCCTAGAGAAACAGGTTCAGGAGACCTGTGGGCCTGAGTTTACCTGTTATTTCTAAAAAAACTGTGCCTTTGGATCGACTATTGGGTCCAGTTCTTTGTATTTTTATTTGGGGGAGGTAAGAAAGGGAACAGTATCAGGGATCCTGGAACATTTTAAGATGTATATATTTTTGAAAAGTTAGAATAGGAATGGTTGTTAAAATAACAAATAGTCAAGTAATGAAACATTTTCAAGTGATCTCTTATTTAAAATAAAAACCTTTGTTCTTTTCAGCGACCTTTGGCTTTGGGAGCTGATATTTGTATGTATTCAGCAACAAAATATATGAATGGTAAGACATGCAGAATCTACACTTTGAAAGTTCTTTTCCATGAATCGATGAAAATAGTGTAGGGCTATTTTTGACATTTTTGATCCCTTTTCTTCCACTATTATTTAGGTTTTCTCTGTGACTCATGTAGCAAGTAAAAAAATTACACTTTGATTAAATATAAGATTTCATTTATAACAGGTCTAACTATGCTCATGATTTATGAGCAGAGGATTAAATTTTACTATAAAAGATTATACTTTCATCCTGCTTACAGCTTTAAAAGAAACATTTACATTTTTTTAGAATGAAATTTCCAGTTTTTTTCTCTCTTTTTTAAAAATATATTTCATTGATTTTTTTACAGAGAGAAAGGGAGAGAGATAGAGAGTCAGAAACATCGATCAGCTGCCTCCTGCACATCCCCCACTGGGGACGCGCCTGCAACCCAGGTACATGCCCCTGACCGGAATCGAACCCGGGACCCTTCAGTCCTCAGGCCGACGCTCTATCCACTTAGCCAAACCGGTTTCGGCAAAACATTTACTTTTTATATGATTTTTATTTTATTATTTTGAGTATGGCTTTTGCTATTATAAAATAAAGTTTATTTAAACTTATTCTAGAGGGCTTTTTTCCAGAATTCGCTCAAGTGAAAATCACATTTTAGAAATTATAAATTGAAGTAAAAACAATTATAAATTGAAGTTAAAATTGTTATTAACTTAACAGTGTTTGTTTTTTCTCAGGCCACAGCGATGTTGTAATGGGCTTAGTGTCTGTCAATTCTGAGAGCCTCCATGAAAAGCTCCGATTCCTGCAGAATTGTGAGTATTTAAAAAATCTGGATTATTTCATGGTTTCACAGGGGCTACATGTAATCTTTTTTTTTTTTTTTAAAGATTGAAGCTTTCTTTTTTTTAAATATATTTTATTGATTTTTTACAGAGAGGAAGGGAGAGAGATAGTCAGAAACATCAATGAGAGAGAAACATCAATCAGCTGCCTCCTGCACATCTCCTACTGGAGATGTGCCCGCAACCCAGGTACATGCCCTTGATCAGAATCGAACCTGGGACCCTTCAGTCCCCAGGCTGATGCTCTATCCACTGAGCCAAGCCGGTTTTGGCTACATGTAATCTTTTTATTTCCACTAAATGCTGTAAAGTGATAGCATTCTATTAATTTAGAAAGAAATCAGAAAAAAATTGGGTATTTAGAGGAAAATAGAAAAATGGGGTTATAAAGATTTAATTATCGCGTAATGGAGCTTTACAGCATGACACACAGGATGAGTTGTGTTTTTTCAAAATCCATGTTAATTTTGATCATATTGTGGTTAAAGCCCAAGTGGATTTTTAGTTTTAAGACTTAATGAATTTTTTTTCTTTTCTTTAAACACCAACATTTGGTGTGATGACTTTCTTATATTATACTTTTTATATCTGAAATGGTGGTGAATTTTAAATAGCACATAAGATATAAACAAAATTTTCATCAGATGTCTGTCTACACATCACTTCCTGGTTAGATTGTTTAGTTATCCCAGGATAGATAGGAGTTATTTTTAAGAGACTTCAATTAATTATTACAGTTTGACAAACACATAAGATACAAACATAATTAGGGATACAAGTGCCCTTCTAGGAAGTAAATATTAAAGTAACAAAAGGGGGCTCTGAGGATGGAAACTAAAACTTACTGCTTGTTAAGTTTCATTTGTAAAAAGTCGGAGTGTGGTCCATATCCTGGAGGCATGTAAAGTCATAGGCTGCTTTAGACAAAAGCTAAATAGACTATCCGTTGAACGTTCAGTAATAACAGGAACTGAACTGCTTTTTTCTCTATATGTTGTAATACTTTTTCAAAGAAATACAAGGCTCAGCTCTGTGCAGTATGCCATTTTATTAAGGTCATAGAAAGGACTGTTTATGTTCATATTCGAAAAGTTACTGTGTTTGTACATAATTTTTAGGATATTCCTTTTCCCTCTCATTTTAAAGCCCATTCCTCTAAGCATAAGTTATGCTCCATTCTCATGCTTCTGATTTGAGATATTAATTCCCCCCCCGCCCCCCCTGACACCTAAAACTCAAGCATTGGGTTTTGTAGCTAGCTTCTCAGAGACACTATCATGAAAAAGAGGGGTCAGAAAATGTTGGGGATTCCTACCCACCTTCAACACTAACCCAGGATATGTTTATTTTGCAGCAATTGGGGCAGTCCCCTCTCCTTTTGACTGTTACCTCTGCAATCGAGGTCTGAAAACACTACAAGTCCGGATGCAGAAGCATTTTGAAAATGGAATGGCAGTTGCTCAGTTTCTGGAGTCACATCCTCTGGTGGAAAAGGTTATTTACCCTGGTATGTTAATCTGAGTTCTAAGCACATATTCTTGGGATTGTAAGGCTTATCCTAAGCATCCTGTGTATGTAACATTTATTTGTAAGTTAGGTGCTTTCATATATTTTCATGTTCACTAATTATTGAATGCTGCTGGGTGTCAGCTCTGTGGTGGTTCTGGTGGTAAAGAAGATAGACATGATCTATGGCCTTGTGTTGCCTAGTGGATGCTTGGATGTTAAGAAATTAGTCTTACCCAGCCGGGGTGTCTCAGTGGTTGAGTGATGACCTATGAACCAGGAGGTCATGGTTTGATTTCCCGGTCAGGACACACTCAATCTCCAGTGTGAGGCATGTAGGAGGCAGCTGATGATCAATGATTCTCTCTCATCATTGATGTTTCTATCTCTCTCTTCCTCTCCCTTCCTCTCTGAAATCAATAAAAACATTTAAAAAAAAATGAAATTGGTCATATGCATTAGAGCAGCAATTTTCAGCCTTTTAAATCTCATGGCACAGATAAAGTAATTATTAAAATTCTGTAGTGCACCAAAAAAAAAATTCTATTTTTTGCCAATCTGACAAAAAAAAAGATACAATTTTGATTCATTTATGTCAGACAGCTATTGTTGTGTTGTTGTTATTATTATTATTTATATTTTTATTGATTTCAGAGAGGAAGGGAGAGGGAGAAAGAGATAGAAACATCACTGATGAGAGAGCTACCTCATTGATCAGTTACCTCCTGCAAGCCCCCTACTGGGGATCAAGTCCCCAACCCAGGCATGTGTCCTGACTGGGAATCAAACTGTGACCACCTGGGTCATGGGTCGATGCTGGGTCACTGAGCCACACCGGCTGGGCCATTAGCTCTAACTTTTTTCTGATTTAGGTTGGAACTTGATACATCTCTATTACTTACACCCATCAAAATCCCCCCAAAGTTCTCTTCCTTTTGGAATTCCTTCAGATCTAACAACCTGAAGAAAGGCTCATGTGGAGTTAGCAGACTTACATGTTACTGTTTGAATCTATTTTGCCAGTGGTTTGAATTGTGGTGGTCTTAAGTAAATAGCTATTTTAAACTCTTAGATGTACAGGAGAATTAAGCCTGATTCCTACCCTCAAATAACTTTAATAAGCCAAGGCAAAAATACAAGGTGGGCAAAAGTAGTTTTATAGTCATGAGTATATGAAACACAGAATTTATTCTTATATTATTATTTATTAATTATTGTATTATTTTTCATAGAGTCAATGTAAACCTACTTTTGCCTCATCCTGTATCAATGCTAGTAAGTGCCCTATATGTACATTTTGAATGAGTGAAGGGAGAAATGTTTTGGGCTGTGAACTGAAGAATGGGTAGCATTTGTTAAAAAGGCTTGGACAAGGCATTTCAGATTCATTCAGTAAATATTAATTGCCAGCTACGGACCAAGCTTTGTACTAGCAACTGGAATCCAATTATCAACAAAAGGAAAAGATTTCTTATGGAACTGTTGGGAGCCCGGGGACAGGCACCATGTGTGAGATGGTGGGTCAGACTGGACCTGGGTTCAGCAACCTTGGTACTTGAGTTCAGGCTAGGAGAGAATTCAGAGCCCAGACTCAAACTATAAGAGAACATTTATTTAGAAAATTACAGAGGTAGAAGTAATTCATAGAGGAAATGGGCTGAAGAAACAAGTTATAGAGGCAGAGGAAGGGCCCTTGGAGTGTGGGAGTGAGGAAGTTAAAGATGATACAAGTTGGGAGGGGGAGGGAAAAGCCTGGGCATGCTCCTGCTGGCTTCTCTGTCTTAAGGGCGTTAAGGGTGGAGATTTTAGGGGAAGATCTCAATAGAATATTCAGCAGCTCTCCAGGTGTGTTCTTTCAGGGTCAGGTTCTCCACTGATTGTCTGGTCAGCGCCAGGGCAGGGGGTCATTATCCAATGCAGCTGTCCTTGAGGTCAGCCTTGGTGTAGCTGGTCTGGTTTTGCTGTTTTTCTGGGCCGGGAGCTGAAATACAACTGAGGCCTAGATGTTATCTGTAGGGACAAAGATCAGGGGGTCCAGATCTCATGACCAGCGATATGCGAGGGAGGAAAGGTCATCCTGGGATGATGTCCCGCCTGCAGTTGTCCTTTTTGCACTCGGGGCTTTCCTCCCTGGTGACCTTTTGTACCTGGCCCATCGTCCTTGCTCTGCTCATGTTTGTCTAACTGTCTATGACAGAACTAGGTTGGTGAATAAGACAAATATTAAGCAGGACAATACAGAAGGATGTAATTAACAAGGGGTAGGGCAGTCAGTGTAGAGAATGTTCCAGGCAAAGGTCCTGACGATAACCGGAACGGTGAGCGATTTAAGCAAAAGTGTGGAAAACTTATTACAAGCAGATTCAGACTACCCTTATGGGGAAGGGGGTGCCCAATAATGGACTGCCCCCCGCTCAAGCCTTGTAGTCCAGGGGTATATATTTGCTACAAGCCTGCTCTATGTCTACCTGTGTCATCACCTGATTGATTCCCTCAGTTGTTCTTGCCCAGCAACGGACCTGAACTTTCCCTGTTTCTATGTGTTCTTTCTCTGTCCCTGTGCTGAACTTTCCCTGTTTCTATTCATCAGTTCACCTTATTGTTGCAGGCCCTCCCTTATTTTCCCATGCCTCCCGCTTTGAGTCCAGAAACATTTTATAATTTCTGCATGGTCGGTTCCTGTGGTGAGGCTGCTCACACTGCCGTGTCTGCCCTGCCTATGTTCCACCTGCCTTTGTTTTCCACTGGACCCCTGTCCCATCTGTCTGTGTTTCAAATGAACCCTTTCACTGAGATGAAAATAGGGTGTGGTACTTCTGGTGTAAAGAAAGCTGGTGTGGCTAGAGCATGGAGAGCATAGAAAAGAGATAGAAAGGACGCCAGAGAGAGAAAGACGGGCCAGAACCAGCAGCCAGCTGAGACCATCGGGTAAAGCTCATGATTAGGCTTATTTGTAGTTTACTTGAGCAAACTGATTTTTTTGTTTTGTTTTGAAATTACTTGTTTGACTCTAAAATAAGACTTTATTACAGGGCTGCCCTCTCATCCTCAACATGAGTTGGCAAAGCGTCAGTGCACAGGTTGCCCGGGGATGATCACCTTTTATATTAAGGGCGCCCTTCAGCACGCTGAGGCTTTCCTCAAGAGCCTAAAGGTAAGCTTTCAAAACAGGTTATTAAATTCTAGGGGTAAGACCTTCTTATGGCAGTTTATTATCTCTCACTTCCATCCAACTCAGATGCATGTTTTTGTACCTGCAGGTCACACCTACAAACCTCTTTATCATGAAATGCATTGGGTTAGAAAATGGCTTTGATGTGGTAGCAGATATCTGAATATGTTTATTTATTTAGCTCTCCAGAGCCTGCTATCAATTTGAGAAAGACAGGATGTTCTAGCGCATAGGTTTTCAAATTTATTTAAAAGTAAACCCCTTTTGCCCTAGCTGATATGGCTCAGTGGATAGAGGATTGGACTGTGGATTTAAGGATCCCAGGTTTGATTCCAGTTAAGGGTATATGCCTGAGTTGCAGGCTCAATCCCCAGTAGGGGGGTGTGCAGGAAGCAGCCAATCAATGATTCTCTCTCAGCATTGATGTTTCTATCTCTCTCCCTCTCCCTTCCTCTCTGAAATCAATAATTTAAAAAAAAAGTAAACCCCTTTCCCAAATGAAATATTATGTGAGACCTCAAAGTAAGTAAGTTGCTGTTAGTGCAATACCTGAAGCTATGCTGGAACCCAGCCCAAGAATGGCTTTCCAAACCCGTGGCCTCCCAGGATGCAGCTGCCTGGAGTGAGGGAAGGGAAGGCCTTTGTCTAATTCCACAGTGGCAGGAAGTTATCAGGGGCTCAGGGAGAGTCCTACATAACCACACACTAAGCTTTCATTGATCAACCTCACACAATACACTGAGTTTTAAATACTATCGGTATAAAGAATAGGGTGCTACCAGATTTGTCAAAGCCCTACTGGTCCATCTCTGAAATCAGAAAAATAGAAGTGTGTATTTAATTTAATATGGCTGTGAGAGTAATTTTTTAAATATTTATAAAATTCTTTGCTACTATAACACTAACTACCAAAACTGAGTTATTTTTTCTTCTATTCCAGGGGGCAGTTTAATGGATGTATTAATTTAATAAGTGATACATACTAACAAATAAGTACTTAAACATTTAGATATTTTTCTTTAAAGGGTAACTGTAACTGGACAATCAATGGGTCCACACTGCCTGTCACTAGAGCCAATTAAGCAGAGAAGGGATTGAATCATCCACAAAAATCTGCTCTGCAGCCCCCTATAAACCAGCTGCTTATATAGGGTAGGTCAAGGATTACATGGGGAAGTAGGCAGTACAGGAATGGGAAAGTAGGCAATACGGGATGGGACTCCATTGTTTGGGCAACAAGGTTGTTAATCCTTCCATGATAATAGGCAGGTCTTGAATGAGAATGGACTGCATTCCAAGGTTGACTCCCAGGTCCCAGGGGTTTACAGCTCCCAGCCAGAGTAGACTGTCCTTTCCTTAACCAGAATAAAGCAATCATGGTTAACAGAGCATAATTAATATTTTCCATAACCATAACAGTCCCCAATATTCTTTGTGCCCCTAACCACAGAGCTAGGTCTCAGATGTAGTAATTCTGAGGTTTTAGAGCTCAGGTTAAGTATTGTTCATGTATAGGGCCAATTAGGAAGATATAGGAGGTTCTCCTTTATCAACTTTTAATGTTGTGAAAGTTTATACATAGTATGTCTAATTAATGAAATCATTGTTAGGGATTCTATTCTCATTTTTTTCTCTGACTTTCTTTCCCAGTTATCGTTTATTCATAATCACTATTTCCCATCCTCTGTCCCGGGGCCATTTTATTAAAAACATTTACTTTTAGATATTTGTATTTTTATTTTGGTGGAAGAACTAAATTAATTTTTTCTTTGCTATAGTTATTTACTCTGGCTGAGAGCTTGGGAGGATATGAGAGTCTTGCTGAGCTTCCGTAAGTATGTTTTTCTTTTTCATAGTATTTTACCTTTGATGTCAGTTTTAATGATCATTTGATAAAGGAATATGATAAAACCCGAAATAATTCCAGATATTTAATGATCAGAAGAGCATGGTACTATTTAATCAGAATGGATTCTGACTCAATAGAATGGAGACTGATGAAATCTCATGGAGACTCTTATCAGTGTTCTCTAGAATTTACTTCCACGCCTGTTCTGTCTGAAGGACATTCCAGCAGAAGTTGTATGTCGGGCTTTCCGCCTTTGGCCCAGGACTACTTGTTCTATCCCACTCCGCCCTGAAAGGGAGGTGAAGACTTTGTCCTGGAAGGGCTGATTTCAAGGCTCCCTGAGAAATGGGGAATGTGTCTCTGATGAAACACCTCCACGCCTTGAGTGTCAGAAGAGGGCCCACCTAGCTACCATCAAATATCTAAGAAAAGATTTCAATCAAGGTGTAGAAAAGCAGGCAAGAATGTATTGACTGCAGCAAAAACACGTAGGACAGTGACACAAGGAAGGGCATAGGAGAAGCAACAGGAGAGCCTAGGCTGGGCTGCTTTGGCTCACTGGGAAGTCAGAGAAAAGGGGCCCTGGGGACAGGGTCAGGGGGTTAGCCTGGGGCAAGCTGCTACTGCCCATTGCTCTCCTGGTTACACGTCTCTTGGGGCCCCTTGGAGTTTAGGAGATAGGTGCCTGTGCGGGGAGGGGGAGGAAGTGCAGCACCTTATTTTACAGACAAGGAAACAAAGATTCAAAAAGTTTTGCTGAACCCTCAAATATCACGTGGGAATATGTTAGCAACTTAACTCTTGAGGCTTTGCAGTGAGGGGAGGTAAAAGCAGCCTGGATCTGGAGTTGATGCCTATTCTACCAATTAACCTTTAAGCTTCAATTTTTTTATCCATAAAATGGGCTTAACATTTGAAATAATGATTATCATTTATTGATTACCCATCCCACCAAGCATTCCTGAATTATGTCCTGACTTCATTGTATGTTACTATGACCATATGATATAATTATTGCAGTGGTCAATCAAGAACATTACCTAATAATTTTCAATTGCTTGTGTGTTTTAATTTCTATACACATTTCTGGAATAACTATGTTCTGGAAGCATTGTACTGAGGGGTATTAGAGATGACCAAAATTTGGGCACATTTTCTGCTCTCTCATCATAGTTTACAGTTTCTGAGTAGAGTTAGGCAATTTCACAAAGTTAAAAAGAAGAAATGATGCCCCCCAAAATGATTCAAATAATTAAGAAGATAACACTTAGAGGTTTTGTTCATCTTTCAAGGAAATGCCTGTTAAGTCTGGATGCACAAGAGGGCACACTCAGCATATGAAAATGGGTTATTTTTCATAGTAATGAAGTGTGTATTACTTTAAGGCGAGTCTTAAACCTCTCCTGGTTTGTTTAGGGATTTGGTTTTAAGTTGCTTGGCCCTCAGACGCTCCTGCTAAGCCATAACCCTGCAGCCTGTAGAGGAGTGAATTTAGGTCAAGAGCTTGCTGTTCTATCACCCGCCTTCTGTGTCTCCCAGCTTGGCTGCAACTGGTGCAGCATTGTAATCAGAGAGGGAGGAAGCCGAGCCAGTGTGCACTGGGTTGGTCTCCCAGCCTGAAAACATGTGTTAATTTTGTGACCTTAGAAAAATTGTTTATCCGCTCTCAACCGCAGTTTTCTCCATTGTAGAATGTGGATAATACTGTGCCCAGCTCTTAGGGTTGTTGTGAGAACATGGGAGAAAATAATGCCTCAACTAATGCCTTGGTTCATATTAAGTGCTCAGTAAATGTTAACTACTCTTATAGATCATTTTTTATCAGGCATTTAGTACATTACTATATTGCAGGTACATGGAAGTGCTTCCATTAAGGACTGGTTATCAGGCATTTAGTACATTACTATATTGCAGGCACATCCCAGGTACATGGAAGTGCTTTATATATGTTCCTTCCATTAAGGACTGTGACACACTTTTGAGATAGATGTTATATCCAGTTTTTATCCATTAAAATTAAATTATTGCACCTAAATGACCTACAGTACCTGTTTTATGAGCAGCATACAATAAGTGATAGCTACTATTATTTCAGATAAGGAAATGCACTCTGAGGAGAGGTAAGTTTTACAAGCCCACACAGCCAGTATGTGGGGGGGCTGAGATTCATACCCACATCTATTGGTCTCAGAGGCCTAAGTTCTTATTTCTACCTGTGCATGCTCTGTTAGGGAATTAAGAGCCTGAAAAGGCAGAACATTTTGAGGAGGCTGTTTACATATAAAACTTAGAGCAGTGAAAGAAGATACCCACTTACTTTGACCACGACTGAGATTTTCTTTCCATGGGCCTGAAGTGAGGAAGGAGAAAGCAGCTTAGGCATTGATTTTACTGGCAGTGTGCAGGGAGAGGTTGAGTGTTGGTGGCAATGTCAGTATTAGAGTTCAGAAAGACTATAAGCCCCTCTGTGATGCCTCAGCCCACAGAGATCTCCCCCGCCACTGAACTCTGGCAGTCCTAGTTTTCATACGGGTTTGTGTTGCCTCTTCTGTTTTGTGAATTGCCTTAGTCTCTAGCTCCTGCTTTGTTATCTAGAGTAAAGAAAATATCTCATAAAACCTCATTTTTATTAGTTTCCTAACTCTCACTATAATGCCTGACCCACAGTAGGTGCTTTGCCTTTACACCTGGGTTTTGTGCCAGAATTCCTGTTGCATACTGGGGGCTACTAGTGATCCTGGTTGCCTTTTCCAGATCTGCCTAGAAGGTCCAGTTCTGGATTGATTCATTGATCCAGAAGAAATTAATTCTGACTGGCTCTTGGTCCCAGAGGCCTCTTGTAAGTTCAGCTGGTTGGTCATGGGGTATGATTTCTGACCAAGGTCTCATTCAGACAAGGGATTAAAATCCACACACTGGAGACCCTGTCTTTCCCTCCTGCATAGGGGTGCTTGACTAGCACCTTCAGTGTCTGGATTGAGTATTCCTTACTGATGCTACAAATTAATAAAAGAGTTTGGATTTCACTTAAATGACTAGAAAAGATAATATTAACAATTCCTTTTTTTTGCCTATGAAAAATTATAAGTGTATGAAGAATTTGATATTTAGAGTAGAAGAAATTGGAAGATGATTGCAATTTATGATTCAGAATATGCCTCCATTGATATAATATAGTGACAAAAAATTTGCTCACTCTGGGCCCAGCCGGTGTGGCTTAGTGGTTGAGCATTGACCTATGAACCAGGGGGGTCGTGGTTCAAGTCCCAGTCCAGGCACATGCCTGGGTTGCAGGCTCCATCCCCAGTGGGGGGCCGGAAGTTGCAGGAGGCAGCCGGTCAATGTTTCTCTCTCATTGATGTTTCTCTTTCTCCCTTCCTCTCTGAAATCAATAAAAATATACATTTTTAAAAAATTTGCTTATTCTTCCTTCCAGGGCAATTATGACCCATGCATCAGTGCCTGAGAGTCACAGAGAGGCACTTGGAATTAGCGACACACTGATTCGACTCTCTGTGGGCTTAGAGGATAAAGAAGACCTACTGGAAGATTTAGATCAAGCGTTGAAGAAAGCAGTAAGTTTTATTACTTTAGTGTTTTTGGGTGTGTGTGCATGAAAGTGGTGCTTAATCTTGGGGCTGGGGCTCATATTTATAAAGAGGCCTCGCTATGAATGCTTACAGGTTTTTCCCTTCTCTTCCTACAATAAACAGGGTGTGTAAAAGTGCATAGAACTTAGTCGAAGTGCAGATTTAAAAGATGGTAGTATTCAGAAGAGTCCTTTGGGGAGGTGAAGTCATTGCTAGCATGTTTAATAACCTGTTTTTCATGTGCACTGTTTTTACAGCACCGTCCAAATGCATATTGAACCTAGCATACCAGAACTGCTATTAGAAGTTGCTTCCTGAGAGATCAAATATTCTGAATAATCGAATGGACCATTAATGAACTTTTATAGATTTTCGAGTGAAAATTTCAAGGCACCTCATTACCTTTCACACAACTGTAATCTTCCTGGGATCATTCCTGTTTTCCACAGATTCCTCTTTACCTTATTGTCATTGACAGGTCAATTCTGTTAATACCTTTTTGTTAATTTTGGCATACAGTTGCCTTTGAAGGAGGTGAAAGTTGTGTTGCTTTTTGGGATTATTCTCTTTTATTCATAGCTTAAGAATTATATTGATCATGTTTACAATATAGTGATAATTCACTTTTGATGTTTTCTGAAGAACTTAAATTATTAAATGAATGTTTTTAAATCAAGTGTGATTTTTCATATCGTTGAAAACAGCACTTAAAGCAACGGTTTACACTTAATTACCATAAACCAAATATCACATGCCTGTAAAGTCTACTGTGAAATTCTACTGATTTGAGATGGTGTTTACTATTTAAAAAAAATAAATCTAATTATCAAATCCATTCCATTGTGATGTTTCTATATTATGTGTAATTAACTTGGATTCCTGGCCCTATGAGTTCTTAGCTCTTATGTTAATTTTATCAATTCAATTGTAGAACTATGATACCCAAATCTTAGTGTTTGCAGATTAGTTACAAATTCTATACATAGAAGGTCAAAAAGCCACCTTTATAGACAGAAATAATACTTTTTTAGGTTTTATCTGAAACAATAGGTTTGTGAGGCTAAAGGAAGAAAATATGTAAAACAGAATTTTTTATAATTGAAATGCATTACAAGTTATTGTCGCCCTAACCGGTTTGGCTCAATGGATATAGAGTGTCAGCCTGTGGACTGAAGGGTCCCAGGTTCGATTCCGGTCAAGGGCACATCCCCAGTAGGGAGTGTGCAGGAGGCAGCTGATCGATGTTTCTCTCTCATCAATGTTTCTAACTCTCTATCCCTTTCCCTTCCTCTCTGTAAAAAATCAATAAAATATATTTCAAAAAAACCAAAACAAGTTATTGTCAATAAGTCATAAGTCAAATAATTAGCTTTTTAAAATTGTTTTTATGCTAAAAGCTTACAGTCATTTGTTTGCTACCGCCATTTGTTTCAGTGTTTAAAAAAAGTGTATTGAACTTGATTAATAATAGTGCTGCGTGGGAGGGGAATTCATACTAACACACATTCTTATGTATTGCCCACATTCTGTATAGTCTAGAAATTCTGTCTATAGGCAGCAGCATTCGAGGCAGGTCATGGCTCACTATGATTTCTGGCAGACCTGATTTCTTGCCTTCTCAGGACCTGAGGGCTGCGGAAATAAACAGACTCAGCCAAATAAGAAAAGCAAAGACTGTTTATTCTGAGTTTGCAAGGGAGTCAGCTACTGTTACTTGTGTTTTGTCAGAGACTCAAAGGCAAGCCAGAACATAAGGAATTGCAGAAAATTTTAATATTTGTTGATACAGATGGATGAGAAACTAAAACTTCCATATTTAAAATTGTCAGATGACTCAATTGGATAACAGTAACTCACTGTTAGACATATTAAAAAGAAAAAAAAAAGACTAAAAACATCAAAGGCAGACAGGAGTGGAAAAGCTTTAGAGTGTACAAAAGGGAAGGCTTCATATATGCCCGGATCCAGAGTTCTGCTGGCGTTTGGGAAGCTGTTGGTGAGCTAATTTGAAGTGGAACATCCTATGTGATTGGTACACATTTGGCTTTCTAGAGTTTATCCTTATTCAAAAGCAGGGACAAAAATTAGGGAAGCTGTCAATTATTAATCAAGTCCTGGCCATTTGGGGCTGATTGTTATAGAAGTGAGTGTTTAGCTTCCCAGATTGTCAGTAGAGATAGAAGTAGATTTTCAGCAAGGCCTGCTTCCCGGGATGGTTGTAAATGTGTTTCCAGCAAACCCCTGGTTGGGCTTGGGCTGCCTGTCACTGTGTCCAATAATGAAGGCAGGGTTGAATCATATAAGGCAGTGGTTCTCAACCTGTGGGTCACGACCCCTTTGGGGTTCAAACGACCCTTTCACAGGGGTCACCTAAGACCATCGGAAAACATATATATAATTACATATTGTTTTTGTGATTAATCAGTAGGCTTTAATTATGTTCAATTTGTAACCATAAAATTGGGGGTCACCACAACATGAGGAACTGTATTAAAGGGTCACGGCATTAGGAAGGTTGAGAACCACTGATATAAGGCATTTATTTAGAAGGCCAGCCAACTAAGAAGAAAGAGTGCTTACATAGATTCAAATCCTGTCTTCCAGCAAGGTGCAGGGGACAGGATTATAAAGGGAAGGGCTAGGGTGATGCTGGTAAAGGAATGCAGCTACATGCAGTCCTGGAGGTCCCCAGATGTCAGCTATTGTGCTTAATCATCAGGCAATGAGATGATGAGATGATATTTTGACTCCTGGTGAGTCGGTCTAACCATGCTTATCGGTTCTGCTTGCTGGATTCACAGCTGAGTCACCTCCCTAATCTCTTCACACAGGCCTTGTGAAAGAAACTTAAAAACTTAACCTCTTATTCACATACGTATGTGTTCTACGATTTAAAAGAATATGATTATTTTTCAGATTAATTCAGGTGCTCTATCTTGTCAGATTATAGGTCCCCTATCAGATGTGGGAGTTGGTTTTCTGGGGAGGTTGTTGTAGACTGTGGGTCAAAGTTCTATATAAATGGTCTATCCATTGTCTATTTGTATATTCAGTCTCATAAGTAAGTAGCTACCATTCTGTTAGGGTTCTCCAGAGACACAAAACCAATAGGATATGTGTGTGTGTGTGTGTGTGTGTACATGTACATATATGTGCATGTATATATGGAGAGAGATTGATTTTAAGAAATTGGCTCATGACTGTAGGGGTTGGTAAGTCTGAAATTTATTGGCTGGGGGCAGCGAGGCTGAAAATTCACATAGGAGTTTTGCAATCTGAAGGCAGAATTGTTTTTCCTTTGGGAAACCGTAGGCTTTGTCCTTAAAGCCTTCAATTGATTAGATGAAGCCAACCCACAATCTAGAGATTGATCTCCTTTACTCAAAGTTTACTGATTTAAATGTTAATCACATCTAAAAAATGCCTTCACAGCAACACCTAGACTGGCATTTGACCAAATAGCTAGGGTGCCATAACCTAGCCAAGCTGACACATAAAATTAACCATCCCATTCATGTTATAGGCACTGTTCCTTACTGCCTGAGAAGGCACCATTATGTTTATTAGGATTTATGAAGTTTACCTGTAGCTTTTGGTTATGTCCAGGCAATGTCTCTCTCCATTAGCATAGTTTACACCAGGATGATGATTCAGTCTTTAAACACTGTACCACCCTCCCCCGCCCCATTTATAGAACATCTGCCTTTGTAGAGGGGAATATAACTGGACAGCAATACTCTGGTCATGTTAAATGAGGTCAGGCTTCCAGGATACTACTTATACTGAGTTGCTTTATATAACACACTAATGGCCTGGTGCACAGATTTGTGCACATTGAAAGGAAATTCATTAGAAGTAAGATTAGTGCAGTAATTACGTTACTGCAAAAAAATACATGTCAGAAGAAAGAAGATGGCGGCGATATAGGCAGACGCGTCCCAGGTCGTGTCCTGGAGCAAATGGAGTGAGCAGCTGAAACTCATAGCACCCACCCCGAGTTGGCGAAAGGGCTCAGCTGGCGAGACGGTTTGCAGCAGGGAAGAGCA